AAAAGTTAATTATAAAATCTAGCAAACAAACTTATTTCTCTGTTTTTTTTTCTTTCAGTAATAAAACAGTTACTCCTTAAAAATTGTTTTCCAAGCTTTTAAAAAGCTGTCCTGTGCAAATATCCTCACGTTCTCTATGCTGATGGTTAGCAGATTGAGAGGGCAGAATTCTTATAATACTACAATCTCTAAAACATATAAATAAAGAGAGCATAAATGAAGTCAGAGGATTTATTTTTTTAATGGGGCACTATAATTCAACGTAAGAGGAAAATTTATTTTGATATATCTGTACACGCACAAAACATAATTTGGTCAATTTCATTCTCCAGAACCTCCCTATTTTCTACAGCACTGCTTTTTGCTCATGATTGCTTTGGATTTTCTGGGTTTTTTATTCTTCCAAGTGAATTTTAGGCCTGCTTTTCCTAGTTCTGTGAAGAATGGCATTGGTATCTTGGTGGAGATTATACTGAATCTGTATATCACCTGTAATATGGCCATTTTTAACAATATCAATTCTACCTATTATTGAACACACGAGGCCTTTTTATCACTTAGTGTCTTCTTCAATTTCTTTCTTCAGTGATCTATAATTTTCATGGTAGAGGTTTTTTACCTCCTTGGTTAGATTTATTTCCAGTTTTTCATTTGTTTGTTTTGAGATTACTATGGATGAAATTGATGAAATTACTTTCCTTATTTCTTTTTCACCGGATTCATTATTGGTGTATCATTACTATATATTAATTTTGTATTCCGCTACTTTTCTTTTTTTGTTTTAATTAGTTACACATGACAGTACGATGACCTTGACATATCATACATTTGAATCAGATGAGATATAATTTCTCATTTTTCTGAGTGTACAGGTTGCAGAATGATATTGGTCATGCAGTTGTATTCCACTACTTTTCTGAATATGTTTACCAGACTCAGAAGTTTTCTGGTGGAGTTTTTTGGTTCTTCTAAGTATAGGAATATATCAATTGCCAAAGTGATAATTTGATTTCTTCCTCACCTATCTGTAGCCCTTTTATTTCCTTCCCTTGGCAATTGCTCTGGCTAAAATTTCAAGTACTATATTCATTTTAGAGGGAATGCTTTCAGTTTTTCTTCATTCAGTATGATGTTGGCTTTGTGTTTATCAATAAATAGCCTTTGTGGCTTTSAGGTAAGTTCCTTCTATCCCTCGATTCTTCAGTGTTTTTATCATGAATGGCTGCTATTATGGTTAAGATATGGTGTCCCCCAAAAGCACATGTGTGTGGCAGTGCAAGAATTTTCAGAGGTAAAATTTGACTATGAGGTATGACCTAATCAGTGGATTAATCCAGCAATGCGAACTATCGAGGTGGTAACTATGAGCAGGTAGGGTGTGGCTGGAGGAGAAAGGTCACAGGGGTCACGCTTTTGGGTTTATATTTTGTCCCTGGTTATTAGCAGAGCTCTCTCTCTCTGCTTCCTTGTTGCCATGTCGTAAGCTGCTTTCCTCTGCCATACCATTCTGCTTCAACTTGGGCCTAGAACTATGGAGTCAGCCATCTCTGAATTGAGATCTCAGAAACCATGAACCAAAACAAATTTTCCTTTTCTTTTTTTTTCAATGTCCTGATTCAACTTTGGTGTCTARAAATGTTACCTATTTCATGTACATTTTCCAACTTATTGGAATATAAGTTTTCAAAATAGTCCTAATAACCCTCTGGATTTCCATCATGTCTGTAGTGATATATCTGGTTTTCATGAGATAATTTAATTTCACTAATTTGGGACTTTTTTCTTAACTTTTGGTTAGTTTGATTAAGGGTTTATCAATCTTGTTTGTCTTTTTAAAGAATGAACTGTTACTTTCACTGATCCTTCATATTTTTTTATTCCCTATTTCATTAATTTCAGCTCTGAAAATATTTCCTTTCTTCTATTGATTTTAGAATTGGTTTGTTATTTTTCTAGGAATGTAGATGCATCACAAGGTTGTTTATGTAGGATCTTTTTGATTTTTTTCATGTAAGCACTCATAGCTATAAGTTTTTCTCTTAGAATCACTCTCAGAATGTCCTAGAACTTCTGGTATGCTGCATCTATTCAAATTTGATTCTCAAAATCTTTGAATATCTCCCCAATTTCTTCTATTCATCCTTCAAAAGTGTATTGCTCAGTCTCCATGAGTTTCTATAGTTTCTTTACTTTTTCTTGCTGTTGATTTCTAATTTCAATCCATTATGATTTAATAAGATTCAAGGAATTATATCTATTTTTTTGTTACTTGCTAACATTTGCTTTAAAGCCTAAAATGCGGTCTATTTTGGAGAAAGTTCCAGGAGCAGCTGAGAAAGATATTCAGTTGTTGGGTGAAATAATTCATTTATTCTGTAAGTTCACCTGCTATATAGTATTTTACACATCTGAAGTGTCTTTGCTAATTTTAAATCAGAATGATCTGAGAGGTGTGTGTTGAAATCACCCAGTATTATTTATTGTACTGGGATCTATCTGAGCATTTATGTCAAGTAGTATTTGTTTTATGTAATTAAGTRAACTGACATTTGGGGTTTATACATTTACTATCATTATATCTTTGTGCTGGATTGTTCCCATACCAGTATGTAGCAGTCTTCTTTTTCCCTTCTAATTCATTTTGGCTTGAAGTCTGCTTTGTCAGATATGAGAGTAGTTGCTACTGCTTGCTTTGAAGCTCCATTTGCAAGGAATATCATTTTCCATCCTTTCATTTCTGGCCTGTGGATCTCTTCACCTGAGAGGTCTATCTCTAGCAGGCAACACATAATTGGATCTTGTTTCAAATCCAATCTTCCAGTCTCTGTCTTTTAATTGGAGAGATAAGACCAAAATTTACATTCAATTTTATTACAGAAAGGTATTTATTATTTCCTACAACTTTCATTTATTTCTAATTGTTTAATSTAATCCTAATTCTCACATGCTAGTACTACTCTTCTAATATTTATTCTTCCCTAGGCGCTGTTGGTTTTTTTTTATTGTTTTGTTTTTTAATCTTCTTCATGTAGGATTTTTTAAAGTATATTCTGCTACATTGGCTTAGCAGTCCTGAATTCTTTCAGTTTATGATTACCTTGAAAGTTGTTTATTTCTTCTTTGATTCTGAAGGATAGCTTTGCTGGATATAGCAAACTTGGTTGAAGTTATTTTCTTTAAGGACATAATGCATATCATTTCAAGCCCACCTGGATTCCAGAGTTTCTGCTTAGAAATTGGATGTTATTCTGATTGGTTTATCTCTAAATGTAAAATGATGTTTCTCTCTTGAGATTTTTAAAATTCTATCCTTGTCCTGGATGTTAGACATTTTACTTATAAAGTATAGCAGAGAGTTTTGGTTTTGGCTTTGTCTATTTGGAGTTCTAAATGTCTCCTATATCTTGGGAATTCATTTCATTTCCAAAATTTTAAAATGTTTCTGCTMTTGTTCCATTAAATGGGTTTATCTATGCCCTTAACCTGTATTTCTGGCTCCTGCCTCAATGCCAATTATTCTTAAGATTGTTCTCTTAATGTCATCCCAGAGTTCTTTTTTATTCTTATCATAGATTCTTTCTTTTCTTTTTAATACCATCTGAATATTGGAGACTGGCAACCTTGCCTTTAAGATCTGAGATTCTGTCTTCTACTTGGCCTAATTCTTTGGAGGGACTTTCAACTTAATTTTTTATTTGATACTGAGTCTTTGGCTTCTAAGATTTTTGTTTGACTCTTTTTCAGAATCTATTAAAATGCTCTTTAGTATCCTATAATTTCTCCCTTAGTTCATTCCTTAGATCTGTAAATTCATGAATCATTTTAACAACCAACTTTTTAATTTCTTTCTCTGATATTTTATTCATTTCAATTTCTGGATTCATTTGTTGGAAGATTATAAGCATATGGAGGCATCTTGTTTGCCTGCTTCACGATGTTTCTAAGGTCCTATATTGTACTTCTGTTGTGATAAATTCCATTTTCTCTTTTGTGGATTCTGTTTCCTTTTATAATGAGTAGTTATCTGTTCATAATAAGCCCTGGGCTGGGAGTTTATCTTAGCTTCAACACATAAAATCAGCATAATCAAAGTGCTAAGTTTTGGCCAGGTACAGTGGCATTTGCCTATAAGCCCAGCAGCTCAGGAGGCTGAGGCAGGAGGATCCTGAGTTCAAAGCCAGCCTCAGTAACTTAATGAGGCCCTAAGCAACTCATCAAGACTCTGTCTCTAAATAAAATATAAAAAAGGGCTGGGGATATAACTCCCTGGTTAAGCACTCCTGGATTCACTCTCTGGTACTAAAAAAAAAAAAAAAAAAGTGCTAAGTTTAACCACCCAGTACCCCTTTAAGAGGACAGTAACCACCAGTAGTAAAGGTAATTTAAAAGCAAACCATATTAACTAAAGAAATGGAGTGAGAATCTGAGGATTTTATAAATATTTCAGTCCAATTTCCCAAGAAACAGTTTCATTATGAAACCCAAAGCTACTACAAAATACCATCTATTTGAAAAATTAAAGTACACATTACATTACACTTTCAATTCTTCATAGGTAAAGAATAAACCAGTTCTAACTAGTGGGTATTTCTATATTACCCATGTTTTTCAGTGTCTTCACTACCTACACCTAAAACACATCAGCTTTAAACCTTCAATTTTTTCCACAAGGGAAAAAAAATTAAAGTACTCTCTTCTAAATGCTTTAACATAACATTAATTTTCAAGCCAACTTTGTACTCTATCTTAATCTTTTCCACTTATGTTTTATTCTTAAAAACAGAATACTTACAGATTAGAAAATAAGCCTTATGTTTCTTTCATTTATTAGAATTTAATGATACTGTATTTCTTTCCTTTCACTAGAATTAAATATGACAAAATTTAGGAGAAAAAGTTAATTATTATAAATGTAATAGGAGTGGGATGGTATCAAATACTACCTTCCTGAAATTACTTCTGGTGCAGCATAGTTGGGTGAGCCACAACTTGTTCTTAAAAATTCACCATCTGACATCATGTTTGAAAGACCTGAAAGTGCACAAAAACAGCTAGTCAGGATTTCCTAAGGCCGAAAATAAAAACAAAAGCCCATTAAACGCAATTGTTTTATGCAATGAATCATTTTCTGTGCTTCAACAAAATCATATCATCTTTATTTCCAAATATTCTGCCACTATGCCCTAAAATGTATAAGTTATTTCAACTTTTAAAGTTAGTGTATTGTTAGAGCTTAATGAGTATATATTAAACTACTGGTTATTCTGTTTACTACATTGAACTTGTCATATATAAGCTTTATTAATATAGAAGCTGCTAGGGAAAATAATCTCAAATAGATGAGTAGAATGACTAAAATCTAAAGTTTCTATTAACTCAATTCTGATCTATCAAAAACAAAAACATAGCCGGGCACAGTGGCACACGCCTGTAATCCAAGCAGCCAGCAGCTCGGGAAGCTGAGGTAGGATATCAAGTTCAAAGTCAGTCTCAGCAACAGCAAGATGCTAAGCTACTCATGGAGACTGTTTCTAAATAAAACACAAAATAGGCTGGGGATGTGTTTCAGTGGTTGAGTGCCCCTGAGTTCAATCTCCAGTACCAAAAAAAAAAACAAATCCAGTAATTTTTAATCTGAATGTTTCCTCATACTTGTACTCCAAAAGGAAATCTTTATCTTCTCAGAAATGTACTCTATATAAAGATACTCATGACAGCTCAGGAACAAGGAATTTCAAAGGAAAAAATAAAACAAAAAATGTAGCTCAGGATYGTTTGCACTGTTTAGTAAATCATCATATAATTACAATATATGCAAGAAAGCTGAGAAAAATATCTACAAGAATTTCTTCTGATTTGAATTACAGCCAACCAAAATAACAGAGTTTCAAAGATTCATTTTTCTCTGAGGTTCAATAATGTTAGGGGCAATCTATATATGAAATAAAATTAAATTCATAAATTGGGGCTGGTGTTATGGCTCAGAGTAGAATGCTCGCTCAGCGTAGACCACTCGTCTAGCACATGAGAGGCACTGGGTTTGATCCTCAACACCACATACATACATACATACATACATAAATAAATGTGTCCAACTACAACTTAAAAAAATACATCAAAATGTTCCTTAAGCAGAAATTAGATTTTCTTGCTGGGGATTGTGGCACATGCCTATGATCCTGGTGGCTCAGGAAGCCGAGGCAGGAGGATCACAAGTTAACAGCCAGCTTCAGCAACTAAGTGAAGCTCTAAGCAACTTAGTGAGACAATGTCTCAAAATAAACAAAGTGGTTGAGCACCTCTGGGTTCAATTCCTGGTACCAAAAAAAAAAAAAAAAAAGAAAGAAAGAAATGAATTAGATTTTCTTATGTAGCTCACAGTCTTGCTTTCAATTTTTAAGGAATTTCATCCCACTCACTTTCCTTTCCATATTTGATCAAAAGAATATGCTGGAATAAGTTTGGTACCTTCTTTCATATGATCCATCTAATGCTGCCAACTTCAATTGTTTATCTACTATCATAAAATTCAATTTTAAAGAAATAAGTTTAAGAAATAGCAATAAAGCAGAGAAATATTCAACACTGATCCTAAAAAATGCTTTATTATTTCTTTAAAAACCCTTGATAATGAGTTGTTACTTTTATGCCATCAAATTTTATGCTTTTTCCGCAGCACCACCCCCCAAAAAATAATTTATGCTTTGTATCATTTAAATCATTTAAATGTGATTCAACACATATAAAAACGCATAAAAATGAAGAAAGAATACCTTATTTTTTTCCTTTTTTCATGCTCATGCTTAGTGACAAAATGGGATACTTCTATTACATAAAAGCCATCTGAAGAATGCTACTTATCTTGTTAAACATAATGAACACATGAAACTGTAAAAATATCCTTACCAAAATCAGCTATCTTTGCATTCATGTGTGCATCAAGCAGGACATTTTCAGGTTTCAAATCTCTATGTACTACCATATGCCTGTGACAGTAATCCACACCAGAAAGGATTTGTTGGAACAGACGTCGACTTTCTTTTTCATCCAGCTAAGAAAAGCAGAGAAGTACAGGTGTGTCATTAAAAAACAAAATGAAGAAAAAACTCCTATCTATTATTCTTCAACTTATACAAACTGTCAAAATTCATGAAACCTTCCAGATGATCTTTGTTCATGAGATATTTTTGAAAAGGTAAGGAGATAYATATGCCCAGCAAAACAAGAAATGTTAAGAGGATTTCTGGAACCCAAATCAGCAATTCAATTTTCTAATCCTATCATTTGCATATGAGTACATTTATCAGCTTGCAATCTCCTACATCTCATGACCTATTTCAAATAGTTTCAATTTCTAATTGAAACAAACTAGACATGTTTTTGCCTATAAATTAGAAACATTTAATCCTCCTTCCTTTTAACAAATATTTACTAAGCGCCTTCAATGTACTATATCATTTAATCATTGTTTATACAGCAATGGATAAAATAAAATCCCTGGGGYTGGGGATGTGGCTCAAGCRGTAGCGYGCTYGCCTGGSRTGCGTGCGGCCCGGGTTYGATCCTCASCACCACATACCAACAAAGATGTTATGTCCGCCGAGAACTAAAAAATAAATATTAAAAATTCTCTCTCTCTCTCTCTCTCTCTCTCTCTCTCTCTCTCTCTCTCTCTTTTTCTCTCTCTCCTCTCTCACTCTCTCTTTAAAATAAATAAATAAATAAATAAATAAATAAATAAATAAATAAAATCCCTAATCTAGTTGTCAAAAATAAGGCAACAAAAAAAGTCAAGTAACATCAAGGAGTGACAGCACTCTGAAGAAAAATAAAGAGTAAGAGAAAGTGACGCTGGGAATGGGGGATACAACTTTATAAATAAGTAACATTTAAGTATTGTTAATGAATTAACAAGCAGCCATATTATTATATATCCTGAAATTAAAAATGTTTTAATTATAACAAAAGAAAAATCTAAATTTGTCTCATAAATATAAAAGCATTTTTTAAAAATCAATGCTACAACTACCTTTGTAAAATTATTCTTAAAAATTTCTCTATTCAAGGCTGGGATGTGGCTCAAGTGGTAGCGTGCTCACGTGGCATGCACGGGGTGCTGGGTTCGATCCTCAACACCACATAAAAATACAAAATAAAGATATGTGTCCACCTAAAACTAGAAAATAAATAYTAAAACAAAAAAAGTTTCTCTATTCAGGACTGGAGTTGTGTCTTAGTTGTAGAACGCGTGCCTAACACATGTAAGGCACTGGGTTCGATCCTCAGCACCACATACTAAATAAAGTTATATAACTAAAATATTTTTTAAAACTTTCTCTATTCATATTTTCTTAAATTATGATGCTTTCTCAACATASGTGATAACCATTACTTGCACATGCCTATTCCAAAGAAGTCATATTTTAAAAATAAGCTATTAATCTTCTAAGCAAAGAACTCTTACATGCAATGCTAACTCATGAATTAGCATTCTAAAATCAGAATTCCACAGCTTAACTGGCATGGATAATCTAAGAGAAAAGAAAAACTAGTAATTTCTTTTGAAAAATTAAAACTACTATTGAAGTGCTATATAATCCTTTGGGGAAAAAAATACTAATATTTTAACAATTTAACACCTTTATTTCTTCAAATGAAAGTATGAGAGAAAAGGTATCTGTTCAAAATATGAAAATACAAAATGAGACGTAAAATCAGTAGGTAGTTTACAAAAATAAAAAATACTACATTTGCAAAAACAGTATAAAAGAATGGAAGAGATTTTATATAAAGGAAGATTAGAAAAGTGAAAGTATATTTCCAGTTCAACATCACAGACTACATCTTTTACCTCCACTCCTTAAAATATCACTAAAATTAYCTCAGCAATAAAAATGGTATATAAAACATAAAGAAAAAGAGAAGAAATGGCAGTCATAAACAGGAGTTCGTCAGTCATAAAGAGGAGTTACCACATTGGACAGTGGGTAAATGGTGATAAAGATTTAGCCAACAAGAAAAAGGTGAAACCTAAGCCTATGGGGGAGAACAAAATCATCAGCACACAGAAACCTGAAAAGGCTTAGAAAATGGAAGCATCACACACTTMTGAAGGCAGAAGTAAGAAGTGGGCTGAAAACAGGATAAATGATTGAGGTAAGGAGCCTTTAAATTCACCCCTATCAGGAAATAAGACCAATGGTTTACTCTAGTAAGACTGAATCAGTCTATCCTCAAGAACACCACACAGGAATGAGGCACTTTGAGGACACCATGTGGGTTAAGTGAAAGTCAACATATTAACTAGTGAAACTTTCCGCTTCCCCAATTAGCTCTGACAGCTCAACTAATACTTTCAAGAAAATTGGAAGTATCTTGTGCAGCAAATATCAGACCCAAGAAAAAATAGTTGTTATTACTGACATTGGTGTACACTAATAAAATGAATAGGTTCCTACCAATTCAACCTACAGGAAGGCCTACCAATCAGTTAAGACCTACCCCAATATGCTTGGTATTTAGTAGTTCACTCTTAAGAACTTAAGTGACAGGCCGTGAATGAATTAGTGGACAACTCTAAGAAGGGCCATGAACAAAAGACAGGCCATAAAATGAACAGAAAAAACTGATGAGCAAAAAGCACAGAAGGTACAGAAACAGTGCAAAGAATAGAAGACAACCATTTAAAAAAAAAAAAACTCTCATCCTCAACCAAGTAAGGTTACTACATCCATGGAGCAAAAAAATAGCAGACTTTCTAAAGAAAAGCTGATTTCAGAAAGCAAGATAAAACTCTGATATATCAAATATGAAAGCTGACATTTTAATATGCAAAAGGAAAAACTGAAAAACATCCCACAATGCAAAACACAATGGCCAAGAAATGAAAATGGAAGTAAAAAGATAAAAAAACAAGATATCAATTCAACTTGTGCCTGTTTCCAGTTTTCCAGGCAGAGCTTTTCTGGGGGATGGGCAGAGAAACAGATAAAGGGAATACCTGAAATATAAATGAACCATGTTAAGAAACAGTAAACTAAAAATTAACTTGGTTATTGAGTTTGATTTTGATTAAAGTAAACATATGCTATACAAAATGAATGAATGAATGAATGAATAATATATATAAGTTTACACTGGGAATGTGAAAAATTGTTTTCTCAGTGCTAAGTACAGCTTTCACAAGGGGATTTTGTGTACCAGATAACYTGGGTATGAGAAAAAATATGGAGAGTGAGCAATGTTCAGTTTTTATATCTGKACTTATGGTACTGTTCATGATCCTTCCAGCTCTAAATTCTTTTAAGTCTAATTCCTACCTCCTTCATGGAGCCTGTTCTTACTACTCCAGGTACATCAGATTTCTGAAACCAAAAAATGAATGCAATTTAATGTGGCTAGGGTTGACTAGCAAGCCTAGATCTTTAAGTATTTAATAATATATTTTTAGGATTAATTATATCCTTCAAGATACTACATATTTAAAGTATTTATATATCCCAAAAGCATAARTTCAAGGATTATGAGTTCTGGAGTCTTGATCCAACTCTGTCATTGATAAAGCATGTGAACTCGAGCAAATGTATACACTATGAGGCTCAATAGGCATATCTGTTAAGTAGGCTAAACAGGTTGTCTTTCTAACTGTAATCTATGATTCTAAACAAATATATAACTAATGGAACTGGTTATAAACTAGACCTCTTTAAACTTTTCTGACATTTGGGTGCCAGTAAGGGATAACGGGAGTTACAAAACATATACAGGATTAAATCAGAACTGCTTACCCTTCCATTTTTACAGATATAATCAAATAGCTCTCCTCCTGAGACATATTCCATCACCATGAAAATATCAGATGGTGTACTGATGACCTGGTACCTGGTGAGAGAAAACATTATCTACTAATATTAAAACATGTATATTCATTCATTCAATAATATTTAGTACACSTATAATATACCAGGTACTATGCTAGGAGCTGGGAAAATTGCAGGGAACAGAACAAATTCTTTGCTCTTGTGATGTTCATAGTCCAGAAGAAAGGAAACAGACACTAAATAAATGAGCAGTATCTCAGGTGGCACAACATGCTATGAACAGAAATAAAGCAAAATCTACACAGAGTGCTCAAGAAAGGCTTCTAATAAAGAAGTATTTGAGTAGAGCCTAGAGGAAGTAAAGGAACAAACTATGCCATTATCTGGGAGGAGGTGAACCAGGCAGAGGGAACAAAAAGTACAAAGGTCCCAGTAAGCCTGCTTGGCATGTTCAAGGAATGAGAAGGCAGCATAGGTAGAGTAACCTGGGAGAGAACTAGGATATGAAGCAAAAGAATAACTACAGGCCAAAGGACACAGAACTTTACAAGCCATGAAAAGGCTGTGACTTTCACTTGAAGGAGGATGAAAAGGTATTGAAGATTTTTAAGTAATCTTATGATCTGGCATTTTAGGATTAGTGGCAGCAGGGTGAAGARGTGAGTGTGGAGGCTAAAGGCTATTACAGTAGTCCATGAAACAGATGAAAAGTGGTTCAGATCAGTTAGATGATGATAAGAACTGAGAAACAGATCAGAAAGATATTTTGAGGGAAAAGATGAAATGGATGGTAGGAACTGAGAGAAATARGGAGGTTAAGGATGTTTCCTAAGTTTTTGTCCTACAACTAACTATTAACTGCAATGGCAAAAACTGTGGGAAGAGCAGGTTTTAGAGGGTAACAAAGAGTTCAGATTTGACCATGCAGAGTTTGAAATGTCTTGTGGACATCCAAACACAGATTAAAAGTAAACAGTTCACACAGTAGTCCAGAGTTTGCAGAAGAGGTTTCAAAGAAGGAAATGTGCATTTAGGGTCACCAGCATGTGGGTGATATTTGAAACCACTTTAACACATGAAAAGAGTGAGTGAAACAAATTTCAGTTTCAGCCACTTCAACAAAAACATCTGAACACATTTCAATTGTAGCCTATATAATAAAGGAGGAGCTGAGCAATAAATAGGTTACTTGCAAACCCTACTWCAGTAAGATAATGGCTTTTTGAAATATTAGATTTCTGAAATTTTGATATTCATATGATCAAATATAAGAATATGGRGAAAACCCCTTCCTAGTGYATTACCTCTAGTAAGGCTAATTGATAATATATGGAAATTTAGAGGCTGAGATTTTTACATCAAATCAATTGTTGGTTCCATAACAAAGAAGTACTAAACATTATCTATTAGAAGGGCATCTATCTGTTCAGAAGACAGGAAAGAATGAGGACAACAGTAACATGTACAAGGTTAAAASATGAAGACAGGCATAACTGACAATGAATGAAGTTAGATAAATACATGAACAAGAAGAAATTTTTCAGGAAACAGGATGAAATGTCAGTCATGTTTCTCAAAGTGATGAAAAGATGAATGGACTACATTTAATATAAATAGAGCTTACAGCTTAATTATATGAGGATGCCTGAAAAGCTTGAGGTTTTGAATTTCTCTGCGGATCTTTCCCACCACATCCAGGCTTCGAATCTTCTGTCGATTGAGTATCTTCACAGCAACTTTATGCCCAGTCAATTCATGTTTACCAACTGCAAGAGAAATAATTTTAATAAATTAGTGCCACTCTTGATTAATAATATATATTTAGATATTCTAAGAATAATCTTAGCATTCTCAGAATATACTTGAGCAGATTTAAATATTTTTTTTTCTTCTACCTAATTTTACTACTAAAGGT